CACAATCACAGACAATTAGGGGGCACGAAGTGTAAAATAAACTGTCAAAAAATGTCACTCACCCATTTTCAATATTTGTTCACTTTCAGAGTCTAAAATTCTAGTTAAAAACATTTTATTATTTACCTCACTGTTCTTACATTTTGCTAATTTTCACTAAATGTTAAATTTAAATGTTTTGTCTAAATGTTAAATTCTAAATGTATAAATCTAAATTTTGTGGCTAAATAGTAACGTTTGCATTTAAGTATTGATGTAAGTATGGAACACAGCCTTCGCTGTTGGCGGCAGCTTTTTTTACAGCCTTATTATCCTGAGACAAAAGCGACCGCTAGCACTGCTAACCCTGCTAACGCTGCTAATGAAAACATTTTGAATTTAAATTGCAGCATTAGCAGTGTTAGCAGCATTAGCAGTTGCTTTTGTCGCTAGATGATGACATCACACCATTGTGCACCAATGGCAAAGTCTGTGTTCCATTCTGAAATAAGCTTTATTATTTAGCTGCAACATTTGTGACATAATTGTTACATTTAGAATTTAATATTACATATATTATTTACAATTTAAATTAAACATTTTATAGCAATTAGCAAAATGTAAGCACAGTGAGCTAAATAATATAAGTGGATTTTTTAAACTAGGATTTTACTCATACAGTGAGCTTGTCTTAGTGACATTTTTTAACATTTTACACTTGGAGTCCCATTACACAATTTTTTAAGTTTCATGGAAGTGGGCATTAAAAATTAAATCAGGCCCTCTAAAAATTGAATGAGTAGAAAAATGCAAAAAAAAAAGTATGAAAATGTGCTGTAAATACAGAAAAAAGATGTATAAAAATGTGCTGTAAATACAGAAACAAACACACACACCTGCAGTGCACACAAAGCAGCTGTTTCAGCTGGTGCACTGATGACCTACCTGTCAAAGCTACAGGCGGGCAACACGTTTGTAATCTTTGGATTTTCTTTGTAGTAGAACACCTCTGTTGTAGGTACAGGAGATTTGTCTATGAAAACGCTGAGTGGGACGTCTCTCACCTCTGAAATGGGTTGGGACAAACAGATGATGGACGAAACGTTGCTGACAGACTTTGTGACCCTGCAGAGAGATGGATTTATAAGTAAAATCCAGATAAACATGGGTAAATGAAAAAGATTGACAACTTTACGCATGATTGACAGATTCAGTAGAAAAAGAAATGCTGCCTCAGTCCTTCAGCTCTGAGCCAAGAGTTTCTTAATCAGTAATTTAAACAAGTTTGAACATGTTTTTCTGACAGGTTTACACCAATAAAAATGTGTGAGCAAAACGTTCAAAGGAGGTCAGGTACACAAAGCAGGAAGGGGGGAAATGATTCCCTGAATGTTGCAAAAATAGACAAAAAAAGCTGCTCTTCACCTTTTAATAGGGCAGAGCACGTCATTCAACGTAACTTTTCTGTTTTTCCCAGCATCCAAGTGAAGCCCAGTCACTGTGATGAGCGTGGCTCCAACACGAGGTCCATAGTTGGGCTGGATTTCTGTAATGATGGGTGTCTGAAGGAAAAAAAATACATCTGTATTTTAGTTAAAAATTATATTTGAAATAAAAGATTTAAAAAAACATCTATTTTATTTTCAGAAAGTGATATTAAATGTTTATTTGTTATTAAATTACCACAAATTTGAACCCGGGAATTTCTGCTCTCCCATTAATAGAGTAGCGACCCTCCCCTTTGTCCTCGTGCACCTCCACGGTGATGTTGACCGGTGTGGACAGCTCCAGCACCACTGAGCGAATCTTACACACTAAACTGAAAATCAGCACAAGAAGAAATCTAACATTTCAGCAACAGATACAGCTTCTCCTGTGGTAATTTTATATATATATATATATATATACATATTTTGTAACAGCATTTCTTGGCAATAAATCTTATACCGATGGAAAGTCTGTTAACTTCCCTTTTAAATGGGGCCACATTTGTAAGGAACATGCATTTGTGGGATGAGCAGTTTGTGCAATTGAAAAATTGGACAAATCTTACCTGCCGAACAGTTTATTTA